CATTGAAAGGTCCTAATGGCTAGAGGGGGGCAAATAGCCTATAAAAAATTCTACAACAACACTTAAGCCAAGTGGTTAGACAATTATGAAGTGAAGCGAGTGTTGCGCTAGCCTACTAAAAATGCAAGCCTCATATCCACAATTCTAGTTGCTATGATCTCTAATTCACACACAAAAGTCTATGTCACTACCACTAAGTGAGCTTTCAAAGACTAACTAAAGAACCTCACTAACCGCTAGACACGACACAAGCTAGCTCTTAAGACTAATTACACTAAAGAACTTAGTTACACTAGGAATATAAATACAAGACAGGGGATGATGTTTATACTGCCGTGGCAAGTGACAATCAATCAATCACAATGAATACCAATGAAATCCTCGAAGACAATGATGACACAAGATTTTTCACCGAGGTTCACTTGCTTGCCGACAAGCTAGTCCCTGTTGTGGCGATTCACTCACTTGGAGGTTCACGCGCTAATAGGCATCACACGCCTAACCCACAATCGGGTGTCGCACAACCAACACAAGATAAGGATCACACAAGCCACGAGCAATCCACTAGAGTATATTTTGGCTCTCCGCTAGGGAAAGGTCAAGAACCCCTCACAATCACCATGATCGGAGCCAGAGACAAGCACCTTCCTCCGCTCGACGATCCTCACTGCATCAAGCCGTCTAGGTGGCGGCAGCCACCAAAAGTAACAAGCTTAATCCGCAGCAAAACACAATCACCAAGTGCTTCTAGATGCAATCACTCAAAGCAATGCACTTGGATGCTCTCAATTCTCACTAAATGATGAATCAATCAAGTAGGATGAGTGAGAGAGAGATGGCTATGCTCACTAGGATGTATTCTCAATAGAAATGGCCAAGAGAGTGAGCAAGAGCCGGTCAAACCACTTATATAGGCACCCCCATGAAATAGAGCCGTTAGGGTCAAGTGGAGTGCCTCTGCGCACTGACCGGATGCACCAGTCGGGATGACCGAACGCAGACGCCCCAGCGTGCGGTCGGGCATCCGCTGCCATGTGTCGTCTCAATTCAACGTGAGCCACTGATCTCCAACGGCTAAGTTCCAACGGCTACGCAGTTAAGTGGCGACCGGATGCGGCGATCAACAAGACCGGACGCGCCGATGCACAGACAGCCTGCGCGCGCGCCCAAGCCACCAAGCACTGACCGGACACGCCGCTCTACTCACCTGACGCTGAGCCACCGCGTGTTAGGTCACTTCTAGAGAGGGTCTAGAGAGGTTTTTTTGTGATCGGACGCGTCCATTCAACGACGACCGGGCGCAGCCCCGAGTCCGGTCCTATCTGGCTCGCGTGGATGCTCACGTCAGCGTACGTCACCACCTGACCGGACGTAGGCCTTGCGTGTCCGGTCACTTTTACTATGCAGCGTCCGGTCGTGAAGACCGAGCCGCACCCCTCTGTGCCACTAACCGGACGCACCCAGCCCGAGTCCGGTCACAGCGTGACCAGAGTCCGGTCACTGAAAACAACACCTCCTCCTCTTTAACTTCGCCACCCTTGATCAAATGTGCTAACCACCAAGTGTTTTACCTTATGCACGTGTGTTAGCATGTTTTCATAAATATTTTCAAGGGTGTTAGCACTCACTAGAATCTAAATGCATATGCAATGAGTTAGAACATCTAGTGGCACTTTAATAACCGCATTTCACGACGAGTTTCACCCCTCTTAATAGTACGACTATCTATCCTAAACGTGATCATATCCACTAGGTGTCTTGATCACCAAAACACAAAATGGCCCTTATCAAATTCACCTTTGCCTTGAGCCCATTTTGTTTTTCTCTTTCTTCTTTTCCAAACCCGAGTACTTGATCATCACCATCATCATGATCTTCATTTGCTCCACCACTTGAAATGTACTTAACCTATCTCATATTCACTTAGAGCACTAGGTTAGCACTTAGAATTTCATCAATTCACCAAAACCAAACTTGAGCTTTCAGTCGTATCTTCATCCGAGACCATGGGGAAAATTCAAAAAAAATAAAGCTATGAGAATTTCCTTGGGGGGGTTCAATTACACACAAGAAAATATAAATTACCTTGGGGTTTCAAATAGCACTCAAGGAAATACGAACTACCTTGGTAACTTCGAAGAGCACCCAAGAAAATGGATAATTATCTTGGCTATTTGTAATAACACTTAAGAAAACAAGGAATTATCTTGGCGGTTTGGACTAACACTCAAGGAAATGAGCAATTACCTTGGTGGTTTGGACTAACACTCAAGGAAATGAGCAATTACCTTGGCGGTTTGGTTTTAGTACTCAAGAATATCCATTTTCTTGGAGGTCTATGTCCGCAACCAAGGAAACTACACTTTTCTTGGCGATTTTTTTTGGCCCTTAAGGAAATTTTTAGCACTCAAGGCAATTCAGGATTGTGGTAGTGTTTAGATGAATCGTACAGTGATTTTATAGAAATTAGCTCAACTTGGTAAGAAACAACTCAAGATTTTTTTTTATCCACATTCCAGCAAAAGGGCCTGGCATGGCATGTCAAGTGCAACACCCCCAAAATCTTGGACCACAAGGAAATGCTGAAAACAACCGGCGTGTCCAAATGGGTGGTGATTTTATTAGGACAGCACATAGCCATTGACACCGCGATAATCCAACGTGATCCCAATTGGAACATGTAGTATGGAATAAACGAGTTTCCATAAACGGTGTACCCCCAAATAGTTGGAGATTTTATTTGGCCTGTGTATTGACCTTGCAACATGCGCCATTACAGCTGGAAATACCGAAACGTATAGCCAGTTACAGATAGCCACCTCTAATTATGGGGCGCATGTGTCATATGATCACCACGTAGTAGTACTCCGTACCAACGTGTATGTGTCCCTCTCCCTATTTTCCTAGGTTGCCGTGGATCGGAACACACAGCGCATACACGGCTTCTCCAGTGAATCATGAATCAGCCGAAAAAGTACAGCGTGATTCGTTTGCCCCATCTGGTGCGCGGCCGTGCACCGACGACACAGTCGTCACCGGCCCGTGTCAGCGCCAGTAGTACCACCGCGAGGCACACGCACCGCAACAGTAGCGTGACAGCAGCTCCAAGTACTGGCAGCCGCGCGCGCTCGGTTGCCGTTTGCCGAGCGGCGCGTCACCTGCCCTCACGCGCCCGATACATACGGCCCCACTGCACATCCACGGCTCGACCCGCGCGCCACTTCCCAGCACGCCAACGCGGTGCCACCTAGCTCCCCTAGCGAGTACGTATACCGTTCTCTCGGTACTTGTTGGGTGCGCGATGCAGCTCGGCACGGCACCGGTGTGTCCGTCGTGTCGTACCCGTGCACGCTGCTCGCGCTCGCGGCATTAACTCCCGCCTCGCCGTGCCAGCCGAGAGCCCAACGGCCCCGTCTCGCGAACCGAGCGTCGCACCAGAAAAATCCCACCCCACCGCCGCCGCTCCTCATTTACTCCCGCGCTCCCGGACTTGCCCCCGCCCCGCGCGCGTCCGATCCGCCATCCGCCGAGCGCGCTGGGGGGCAGACACGGCACTTCGCGCGCGCGTTTGGGGAGGGACGGGGGACCCGTACGGCGTCCCGGGCGCGTCCGATTGAATGAGCCAGCCAGTCCAGCCCAGCCCCGCCCGTGAGAAGTCCCCGTCACGTTCGCCCCCCCTCCCTCCCTCCTTTGTGGCCGGCTCTCCCTTGCCGCCGTGCGTGCCATCCGCTTTTTTCCACGGCATTTTCGCGCCTCCTCCGATCGCTACAGCACGGCTGACAGCGAAGTAGGAGTATAAAGCCCTGTTTTTGCCTCTCCTCGCCTCCATCTTTTCTGAAGCAAAAAATTGGTCGCTGTTGTACGTGGCATCCTTCCAATCGGGATAATCCACACAGGCGGTCCCCCCTGTTGAGCTCGCACTCATCACATCACAGCAGCACAATCGTTCGTTGGCCATTGCCAGATGCCCCAGATCTGTGTGGCAGTGTGAAAGTAAGCAGAAGTCGAGCCACAACCTATGTTGTAACCGGCCCATGGGGTGGTGCATCGGTGTGGGGGCCATTTGACTCTCGCGCTCGCCTCCGTGTGCGAGTCAGCCCCACTTGATTTTTGTGCTCCCGGCCCCCGCCCCGGGGCTTTGGTCGTTTCCTCCGTTAGGTCTGCCCCGAAAACGCTCCGAAAAAACACAGCTTTTTCACGCTCTGGTTGGGTGGGTTTACATGGCCAGCCAGACCCAGACTGACTCCGGTTTTCTTTCTTCGGCGGTGCACGACGCCGTCGTCTCTTTTATCTGCCCCGCGAGGCCAGAGCACTAGCTGCTGGCGGCGCCCTCGTAGACCTCGCTCCACATGTCCGGATGTCCCCCGCTTTATCTACCTCTCCCTCCCGTAGCCATAGCCGAGGCCAGCCTCTCGAGCTCTCTCGCACCTCCTCTCTCTCGCCCATTCTTCCTCTTCGTCCTTCCCAATTACTCGTCTCGTCTGCTCTCGTCTTCTTAATTAGCTCGCTCGCCAGGCCGGCAAGCCACATGCTGCATGTGGCGGAGTGGAAGTAGCTGCTGCGTCTCTCTGGCCTGACGAGGGTTTCGGCGGATTCGTCAGGGGTCGCCATCGCCGCCGTTGTGTGACGGCGGCGGCGGAGTTTGGCATCGAGTTCTTCAGAGCTACGCCTATTTTTAGGTGGACGCGTCTCGCGTTCCTTCTGCCCAACTCGAGTTTCTTTCTTTCCATTCCATGCCCGCTCCATGACGGACGTTCTCGTTCCATGATGATTCCCTTCCATATTTGCTCCAGCCAGGCCATCGGCGGCTGCGTGGCTGCGGTCCTGCTATTTTAATGCGTGCCTTCTTTCCCTCTCACCTCATAAAAAAATTAATAATTCCTTGGGATCTGAGGGGATCCGCGCGGGGTTGGTAGGATCGTGGGCAGAGATTTTAAGCCAGGAGTGGAGGGAGGAGAAAAACCAGTCTTTGTTTTGCTGTTGCTTCCAGTCCGCTCTTGATGAGCTTCGGTGGCATGTTCGATGGCGCCGGCTCCGGCGTCTTCTCCTACGACTCTACCGGCGGCGGCACGGGCATGCACAACCCCAGCCGCCTCATCCCCGCCCCGCCACTGCCGAAACCCGGCGGATTCGGCGCCACCGGCCTCTCCCTCGGCCTGGTAGGCTCACTATACTCCAAGCGTCGTGGCTGGTTTTCTGAATCTTTCTTGTGCTCATATGTCTGACAGGACTGATTTTTTGTTGTTCTAGCAAACGAACATGGAAGGGGGGCAGCTGGGCGACTTGAGTCGTATGGGCTTGATTGGCAGCGGCGGGAGCAGGAGCGGAGGCGACGGCGACTCGCTGGGCCGCGCCCGGGAGGACGAGAACGACAGCCGGTCAGGCAGCGACAACGTCGACGGCGCCTCCGGTGACGAGCTCGACCCGGACAACAGTAACCCGCGCAAGAAGAAGAAGCGATACCACCGCCACACACCGCAGCAAATCCAAGAACTCGAAGCGTATGTCGCCTATATTATCACAGGCCACAATATGGAAGAAATCTTTCTCACGAGTTTTTGGACCTATAATGATCGATAAGCATATGCACGCAGTGTGTTCAAGGAGTGCCCCCACCCCGACGAGAAGCAAAGGATGGAGCTCAGCAAGCGGCTCAACCTAGAGAGCCGCCAGGTCAAGTTCTGGTTCCAGAACCGCCGCACGCAGATGAAGGTTCGGAGCGCGAAGCGGCGAATATAATCAGTCGTCAATCAAACCATGGACGACCTACATGTGTCGTGTTGAACTGCGTCCGCCTGTGTGATGACTGACAATTTTATGTCTTGTGTGCATCGTCGTGATGAGCAGACGCAGATCGAGCGGCACGAGAACGCGCTGCTGAGGCAGGAGAACGACAAGCTGCGGGCGGAGAACATGACGATCCGGGAGGCGATGCGCAACCCCATCTGCGCCAACTGCGGCGGCGCGGCCGTGCTCGGGGAGGTGTCGTTGGAGGAGCAGCACCTCCGCATAGAGAACGCGCGGCTCAAGGACGAGCTGGACCGCGTCTGCGCCCTCGCCGGCAAGTTCCTCGGCCGCCCAATCTCCTCTGGCAGCTCCATGTCGGCCCTGCAAGGGTGCTCCGGCCTCGAGCTCGGCGTCGGCACCAACGGCGGGTTCGGGCTCGGCCCCCTCGGCGCGTCCGCGCTGCAGCCCCTCCCCGACCTAATGGGCGCCGGCGGCCTGCCGGGCCCCGTGGGTTCGGCGGCGGCCATGCGCCTGCCCGTGGGTATCGGCGCCCTCGACGGCGCGATGCACGGCGCGGCCGACGGCATCGACCGCACCGTCCTCCTCGAGCTGGGGCTCGCCGCAATGGAGGAGCTCATGAAAGTGGCTCAGATGGACGAGCCGCTCTGGCTCCGCAGCCCCGACGACGGCGGCGGCGGCCTGGAGACGCTCAACTTCGACGAGTACCACCGGGCGTTCGCCAGGGTGTTCGGGCCGAGCCCCGCCGGCTACGTCTCCGAGGCTACCCGCGAGGCCGGCATCGCCATAACCAGCAGCGTGGACCTCGTAGACAGCCTCATGGACGCGGTACGCACCTGAGGAGCCATCTGCTCCATGTTAATGGCCTATACTACGTACGTGTTGTTCCATTCCGCGCCGCTGCCACTGGCACGATGACATAACATAGACATGTTTCGTGCAGGCTCGGTGGTCGGAGATGTTCCCGTGCATCGTGGCGAGGGCGAGCACGACGGACATCATCTCGAGCGGCATGGGCGGCACGCGGAGCGGGTCGATCCAGCTGGTGAGTCATCCCATTCGACGCCCGCCCACACGTACCACACACTTTCGTCACGCGATGCCGCCATGCTCTCGCACGCACGCGCCTATACTAGTAATATACTATACGGCTGCTCAATCGCGTACGCGACGTGACGACGTACGTACGTGCTCCTGGGATCGATGCATGCAGATGCACGCGGAGCTGCAGGTGCTGTCGCCGCTGGTGCCGATCCGTGAGGTGCTCTTCCTTCGGTTCTGCAAGCAGCACGCCGAGGGGCTGTGGGCCGTGGTCGACGTCTCGGTGGACGCCATCCTCCGCCCCGACGGCGGCAACCACCACAGCCACCACCACCACGCGCAGAACGGCGGCGGCGCCGCCGGGTACATGGGCTGCCGCCTGCTCCCCACCGGCTGCATCGTGCAGGACATGAACAACGGCTACTCCAAGGTACGTAGTCCACCCCCGCCCGGCCGTTACCATGGTTGTGCTCCACCGTCGTCTGATTCGACTGTCGTCATAAATCCGCACGGCGCAGCGGCATGTGGTGGCTACAGTGCGCGAGTTACGCCCGCATTTAGAGCGGCCGCGGCCCAGTATTTTATGCTGCCCCGACGCGTGCGCGTAGTACGTGGGCGAGCGAGTCCGCGCGGCGGCACTGCTGCGTCCTGCGCACGCACCAATCGATGCTCCCAGGAGCGGCAGGTCAATGCTCTCGAAGCCAGGGCCCTGCAGGGCGCCGAGACGTGTGCGAGGTCAGTTTGGTCTCCGTGCCGTCTGCGGAGTGCGGAGGCTCAGACGCGGTGGCCGCCGTCTGACCCGCAGCTAGCGAGCTTGACCTGTAGCACTAGCCTAGGGCATCACATGACCAGTTTTGAAACATTTGGATGCTTCCACTACCGTACGTGCGCTGAAATGCTATCTCGGGCCGGCCGCCTCATGGTCTCGTAGATCCAGTTTTTTAGGGCATATCATCATGCTGTTTAATCGTCGTCACTGACGAGTGCCGAGCTTGTGAGTGCACGAATGCGACCTGTAATGTAATGGGGTCGATAGAATCCAAACCTCTCATGACCCATCTACATGTCTCGGTTGTAGATCTTGTTTGTTTGCTGTGCGTTAACATATCGTTTCCTCGCTTTCCTGCAGACTGGTGCAGTAGTGCTTCTGTATTGGGTACTAGCTAGGGTTCTGCACTTTGCAGTGGTCAAACTGGGTTTCTTCTGAACCCTGAACTTCTGGCCGATCGATGCTTGTTTTAGATGACGACGATAGACACGCAGCATCCTACCGCCGTGCATTCGTACCGCATTGCTAGCTTGTCCGCTTGCAAAATGGCGTACGTGTACGCCCTTCGATCGATCTTATCGTTGCCATTTCTTGCGCGTCTTTACCCTCCGTCCCTGGCCAGCGGCACAAGCCCTTTTACCTGCTTCCGCCATTACTGCGCTGTCGCGGCGGCAAGTGGCCATGGCCAGCGTGGAAGGAAAAGAGGAGCTACTACCCGTGCTAACGCTGCTCTGTACTGTGCGTGCTGCCCACAGATCACGTGGGTTGTTCACGCGGAGTACGACGAGGCGGTGGTGCACCAGCTCTACCGCCCGCTGCTCCAATCCGGCCAGGCCCTTGGCGCGCGCCGCTGGCTCGCCTCGCTCCAGCGCCAGTGCCAGTACCTCGCCATCCTCTGCTCCAACTCTCTCCCTGCCCGCGACCACGCCGGTGAGTAACTTACTACTGCTCACTTCGTCATTGCTTCGTCGTGCCTGGGGTTGATATAGACGATGTGATGGTTAATAATCGCGGCGGCGGCGAACATGCATGGATAATGGCAGCGATCACGCCGGTGGGGCGGAGGAGCATGCTGAAGCTAGCGCAGCGGATGACGGACAACTTCTGCGCGGGCGTGTGTGCGTCGGCGGCGCAGAAGTGGCGGCGCCTGGACGAGTGGCGCGGCGGCGGTGAGGGAGGAGGAAGCGCCGGGAACGGCGGCGGCGCCGCGGGCGAGGGGGAGGAGAAGGTGCGCATGATGGCGCGGCAGAGCGTGGGGGCGCCCGGGGAGCCCCCTGGCGTGGTGCTGAGCGCCACCACGTCGGTGCGGCTGCCCGCCACGTCCCCGCAGCGCGTGTTCGACTACCTCCGCGACGAGCAGCGCCGCGGCGAGTGGGACATCCTGGCCAACGGCGAGGCCATGCAGGAGATGGACCACATCGCCAAGGGCCAGCACCACGGCAACGCTGTCTCCCTCCTCCGTCCAAATGTAAGCACTACTGGCTCCTTACTTTTCACTGCCATTTTTACCATTGCGATTAATGAACTATCTCTTGCACTTTCATTTTGGTACCACATTGAAATGCAATAATGTCTTCTCATCAAGTATAGAACAGTACCATGGCCCCGGATCTGTGTGTATATGCATGCATTGCAATATTGCATGGGTTGAGGGACACCATGACATCAAGAAGAGGACAAACTAAGAAAAGGTTAAATACTGGCAGCTTACCAGAAACTGGGGCATGGTTGACATTTGTGAGAGAAAGCTCCTGCCAGCTTTTCTGTGTGTGTTTGGAAGCATGCGCGGCTGCCGCACCGACGTGGTGGCGCTCAGCACCACGCCTGCTTTTATCTTCCCTCTAAACTACAGTACTTGTCAGTAAAAAAATTACAATTATAGTTTAAAATAAATCAAATTTTAAGTTTAATCAATTTTATAGAAAATAGTATCAGTTTTATTATCCAAATAGGTTTAATATAAAAGGATATTCTATAATAAATCTAGTGATACTTGTTCTATATCATAGATTTTAATTTCTTTTATATATATTTGGTCAAGCTTGAAAATTGTTTGACTCCTAAAAGTTTTTAGGACCGAGCAAGTAATTTCTTGATCTCCTCCACCCCCTTTTTTTTTTGAGGCGCAACATGTTCGTATTGATATAGTCTCAGATTCACGAGCTGTGTTTTATCCTTCCAATGCTGATTACATACAAATTTTTTTACCCAAACTGATGTTGATTTTACTATTGCATTGGTGAATTTCCAATCACATGCTCCCTCCGGTCCATTTTATCTGGCGCACACGCATATCAAGATTCAAACTTTAAAAACTTTGACTAATAATTAGGCTAATAATTTTTAACTATTATAATACAAACTTTATATGATTAGATTTGTAATGAATTATACTATCCAATGATTATAAGTTTATAAGCATAATTAATATAATATAAAGCAAATGAATGATCAAAGTGTAATTTTAGAGATCGTGCCATTCTAACTTGCGTCAGATAAAATGGACCAGAGGGAGTACTTTACAACGGTAAGCTTATTACCAAGTTCATAATACAATTCTGATGCACATTTTTTTAGTTCAAAAGTCAAATCCGTTTGTTCTCTTCAGCATCTGATGCATTTCACAACTCTCTTACAAATACACCCATTTTGAGATGTTGCAGGCAACAAGTGGCAACCAAAACAACATGCTCATCTTACAAGAGACCTGCACCGACCCATCCGGTTCTCTGGTGGTGTACGCCCCGGTGGACGTGCAGTCCATGCACGTCGTCATGAACGGTGGCGACTCCGCATACGTCTCTCTCCTCCCCTCCGGGTTCGCCATCCTACCGGACGGCCATTGCCAGTCGTCAAACCCTGCCCAGCAGGGTTCACCAAACTGCAGCGGCGGCGGCTGCGGCAGCGGCACCGGGTCTCTGGTCACGGTGGCATTCCAGATCCTGGTGAACAACCTGCCCACTGCCAAGCTCACCGTGGAGTCGGTGGAGACCGTCAGCAACCTGCTCTCCTGCACCATCCAGAAGATCAAGTCTGCGCTCCAGGCCAGCACTGTCACGGCCTAGCGGGCATTTGACATGGATTCCGGCCACCGATTCTCACAGAAGGACGGAGCCGGATGCCATGTCAAATGCTTAGCTCGAGGCCATGATATTGCAGGTGCGGCTAAACAAGGTTGACCTCGTCGCTTCAGAGCATGCAAGGGAACTGGTGCTTGAGAGACGGTGAAAGAAAAAAAATGGTATTAAAATAAATTATATATCGTGGAGTATATATTGCATATAGAGCAATATATGGGGTGAGGTACACAGGGATTAAGTCAAGAACGAACCGTGCGCTAAGCTTTAACTTGAGCAAACATGTTTTACTATTGCTCAAGCTTGATATGCTCATGTGGTGGTTCGGGTATTGACTTAAGTCTCTGGCAAATAAAGTGAAACCCCTAGGATTCTCCTATATATATGTAGCAGTTTGTTTTAACCATTTTGTGAAGAGTTTTGTTTTCTTTAATGTTTCTCCGATATAGGGAAATATAGAGAGATGAGAGCTATGCATGCCCCTAAGATATGTGGCTTTGTATTTGTAACGTTTGTGTAGTGTTAATTCGTTTGAGTTGATATGACATATATATACCCTTTGTTTTGTGTGTTCTCTGTTGGATAAAAATGTTAGTGTAGCTCGCTAAATATCATGCATGTCTTTGAATAGAGGATACAGGCCAGCATACAAATATAGGTTTGCCATCTCATTTCTTTAGGAAAACTAACTTCATGTTTGTATTTCTGTATATGCTCTCTTACCAACATATTCTAGTAACTATAAATTTGTAAACTAGATCACCACACCTGCCTATCCCAATTGTTGCGACATCACCACAACTAAACCCTGTGAGCTTATATTCTAGAGATTGGAGTATGGACCAAGTGCAGAGCCAATGGATAATTAAATAAATAACTTGCACAGGAAAAAATATTCTTTTAAAAAAACAATTTCAGTTTCATTTCTATTTAACCAATATAAAGACCAAGAAGTAGCGCACCGCTCATGCATAGCAAAGCTAATAGCTTCATATCGTTGCTAGTACCTTGTAACCAGTATCCGAACATATGTGATACAATATAGGGTTTGCTAATCTTGTAGCCACCTAGGTAATAGTTCAGATCAAACATACAAACTGATAGACAAAAACAAATGCCTAATTATCTAATATTTTGTGACAAAAGCAGCATACTTTGCTATCACGCCAATTGTGTTTTGCAATGTCACATATCATAGGTCAAAATACTGTATCGACGTAGGTACGAGATATGAAGATCTTGATTTTTAAAGAGCCTTTTTTGTTTTTGGTTTACACAAGCATTCCTTGACATTATTAGGGAATATTGATTGGTGCCAAATAATGTGATTTCATCTAGAATTGGCCATTTGGATGTAAATGCTAGCGGAATACATCATGTTCTACCGGGGATTCTAGATTATGCATCATAATGAGGGTTCATTTATGTTGTAATTTAGAGGTTACTTTATATTATGTTTTATAATATCATATTAGTATAGTAGGGTAATTTTTTTAGAAAATAAAATAGATCCACTGGCAATTATATTATCAACGTCTTTAGAGGGTACATAATTTATGATTAGATCTTTCTAGTTTTGTGGAAATTATCTCAAATTCATTTTTTATATCTATAGTTTATACGTGGTAAAAATTGACGTGGAGGTTTCGTTCTCGGCCGTGTGCCGTTCTGAATCGACCAAGGGCATATTTGAAATCTTTGCCATCAGTGTTTTGCGTTAGGCCAGTCTCAGTGGGGGAGTTCCATGACACAGTTACTTAGACTGGTATGTTAGCTTTTGTGTTGGTAACGGTGACAACGGGTTTCATCTAGATGATACTTTATGAGACTCTCTCTATCTCACTTTTCATAATTAACCTATCATGTCATCAAATCTGCTCATGTGTCACGGTATTGAGTGCAAATAAAACTTAGATGAAACTCTTACTAAGACCGGCCTTACAAAGCTAGAAGTTAGAGCGGTCAAGGCGTTTGGTTCCATGGCTAGCTTACCTCAGATCCTGCGCTGGCAAGTTTTTTCTTACTGCAGCGAGCGAGATAAATCGGCTCGCTCGGGCTGGCCAAGACAGGGCGAGGCTAGCTGGATGAAACCAATGGCATGCTTGGTTTCTTGATTAGGCACTGTACTGCCTTGCTAGGCTAGAATACCAATTTCAATACTGTGTTTAGATGTCAAGCAAGTTATTCTTGAGGCTTGTGCAAGCCATGCTTGCCTTGCTACCAAGATTAGCTGGGCTCTCCTGAGCCAAGCTCCTCGTTGCCAGCGCCAAGCAAAGCTTGGTACAACAACCATGCAGCCCAATTTTTTTATTTTTAGCCTTTTTTAAAAAAAATGACAAATATGCCCTTGAAGCTATGATTTCAAAATCTAGATCCTTAGCTCGGCGCCATCGTTGCCGGCGCCGAGCTCGGGGCCACATTGGCGCCATAGACGCTGACATGGCAGCCAGCTCGGCGTCGTGGATCTCGGCGCCAACAAGAACAAGGGCCCTCCGCGGTCACCCCCGCCACCACCACCACCAACAATAGGAGGCTACTGTGGAGAAGGTGCAACATAATTTGCTATGTGACCACATTACTAGAACGACCCTATCTTATTCACATGGCACATCCATGTGTTTGTTGTTTGGTTTAATTACTTAAGGCATGTTAGGTTTAGTCGAAGGAACTCTGTACCCTAGTTCGGTACATATTCTCACATGCCATTTCATGTGTTTTGTGTGTTGAATTATATAATGCCCTACTTCGTTAGCTTGTGTTTGCAGCACGTAATCATATTTCACTACGTCCGCAATATTATACTGAATATTATGACCACAAATAATAAAAACAACTACATAAAGAAAAGTCCAATACTATGCCACATTAAACAACACAATAATACTAGAAGTACGTGCCGACAGTAGACAACATTGTTCATGAATAAACCATAGATCTAGCAAGTCATGGAGACTACTGAGTGCAACGAGGTCATTTCCCCTTCCTCATGGCATCGGGATTCTCCTCCATCGTTGCTTTCGCTCGGCGTGCACGCTCAAGCTTCTTCTCCTTCTCCTCCCTGTACGCAGCAACACGCCTCATTTCCTCCTCTTCCTTGTGCTCCTTTTTTATAGCCTTCTCTCCGCGTCTCTTCTCCATCATCTCATTATCATCTGTCTCCCACCGCAACAGTTTCTGCATACATTCCTTGTCTTCAGGCTTGGTCTCAGTGTTGATCCACTACTTAAAATCACAGAGCGATGGAGGGGTCTGCAAAAAATACAATTGTTACAAAACAAAAAAATCATGCAAGATGTCATATGACACAAACATCAATTCCTCACCATCTTGTTAATGCGGCGCTGACGAAGTGTAGGCTCAAACGTAAAATTAGAACACATTCAATACCTCTGTCTATACGTGTCCTATTCATTGGACTTGGCTACCTTGCAAGGATCGCCGCAAAAGCACATGGGCACTGGAACACCACTAGGCAAAGGCAATGGGTCGAAGGCATTTCCAGTCATCCGACAATAACTACAATTCAACCAATTTCATTCTCAAAACCGAAAGCAATTAACATTAAACCTTAAACCTAAGGTTTTCCATTTTATGCACAACAATGAACTCATGACATAACAACATGAGTTGCGTTTACCTTGGTTCGCTAGCTTTTCCACGCCTTGGCATCCTACGGTTGTATAATATAAATATTAAAAATTGCATGAAACCCTAAGTAATGACGATTCTTAGGTTGAAAAATCCGACTAATATATACCGAATCGATGCGAAAAAATAAGGAGGGGAACGATGATACCTTGCTCTCGAAGATCTACGGATCAAATCAAAGTTTCCAACATCCAATATGCCGATTCATGAGGTACGGCGAAGTGGGAGAGAAAAAACCTGAGAGTGAGGAGAAAAAAGAGGAAGAAGGCTCGGACAGGAAGGTTGGGGGCCGGGTTAAAACACCACATCGGCGTCATAGATCCTGGCGCCAAGCTCGGCGCCAAGATCTACGGCGTCAGGATCTACGGCGCCAAGCTCGGCGCCAGAATCTACGGCACCAAGATGCCTGCCAAGTCACCGCTACGTCTGCGTCGAGCCCAAGACCTCGGTGTCAGCAACGATGGCGCCGAGCAGTGTAAGCTCGGCGCCAGTAACGATGGCGTCGAATTAAGGGTTCAGATTTTGAAATCATACCCTAGAGACATATTTTTTTTAAAAAAAATCAAAAACAAAAGCTAAAAAATAAAAAATTAGGCCTCGCAGCCCCCAGTGGACGTGTGGTGTGTGGAGGACCAGAGGCTGGAGGGTAGTATCGGCATTCGGTTGGGCCTTGAGGAGGGGTTGTGGGTGTGGTTCCCGCCTTACCCGGCCGGGCAATAAATCGGGCAGGCAGCGGTCGGCTGCGTCCTGCGCTGCACTCTGCTCGCCTCGCACAGCGTCAGCGGGTCACGGCGGTGCCGACTGCCGAGAGGGGCAGACGGCGGGGGTCATTGTCACGGACTCTCGGCTTGCGTTCGCACCGCTGCACTCCCCCCGGCGGGGGCCTGTGCCTCCAATCCATCGATTCCTGCATGCCGCATGCCCCGTCCGTCCTCCTCCGCCGTGCGCCGCCCGTTCCGCGGGGCTGCCCTCTCCCCAAGTACTGCACCGGTGAGGGAAGGGATCGGATCCGCTCTCGAGTTCTTCAAGCCCATTCGGAACAGGAACACGTATGTACGGCGCGGCAACGAACTAATCCTCCCCGAAGCCGTACGACTTTTCTCGTACCGCGGCGCGGCGACTCAATTTGCAAACCTGCTACGTGCACTAGAAAAAGGTTCAAATTCAGAAGAGCTGCCGAAGCGAAATTTCTCCGCGCACGAACGCGTGCCTGGCTGTATCGGTGCGGGTACCACGACTACCAAATGATGGCGCCTGCAGATTCGCGGCTTGTTGAGCTTTCCAGAGAGAACTGGAGTGAGTGACACCCACCCGGTCCCGGGGGCCGGAGCGTACGTACG